ACCTGCTACCCTCTCCTCTCCTCTCCTCTCTTAACACCAGCACCTCCCCCTACGCCCCTCCATTGCCGCCTCCACCATCTAAATGCATCGAGACCTGAGAATGAAACCCATCAACCAGCAGCTGCACACCCTGGCCAGCAGAATCTGGCAAAAGATAGAACGATCAGAGCAAGAACTCATTCAAAGACTCCCACCAGATAACGACAACAACCATACATGGTTCCCAAAAAGTTACCAAATCTCAAAAGGTCCATTACCACCCCCGATCTACACGGCCAGGCAATAGACAACCTCCCTAGACCAACGTCCGCCAGTAGGGTCAGCGGAATATGAAATAAGGCCCTTAAAACACCCATGTATGGGATAGGGTAGGATGTCTAGTGTCTGTACCGACAGACAATAAATAACCCATGACACAACCCAAACACACTATTAGCTTAGCTAGGCGGTCAGCCCGCCCTCTCTTACCTCCTCCTAAACTTCTTCAATTTCCGTACTATAACTTCCTTCCCCCACCTCTAATCTTCTTTCGCCCTTCCTTTCTCTAAAAAAAAAAATCTAAATGCCAACATGCCTGGGGGTGAAGAACACTTTAGTGTCTATCCAATGAAGTAATCTTCGCGTGACGTGTGAATATAATTTCTTCGCCTGCGCGTCTCGCCCATTTATCATATTGATTATGTATTATTTTCAACATTTCACAAGCGTTATTCCCTTCTGCCCAAATATACTATTCTACTGTTATTGGTTTATAAAACACTAACGAGTGTCACGTTACTGACCACTTAACAATAAAACCCTGCAATATATACACAACACATCATTCCTGTGATGAAAGCTAACCACACAACGAATACTCAGCTGATCTCTCTAAACAGTATATCTCTATAATAATTCACTTACAGCGCTTTGCTTCACTTCCAGTAAAATGAACTATTCAAGAAAATATTTTCTTCCTATATTCTGAGACTTACAAAGCCCTACAAAATCACAATTATTTTGAGTTTAGAACGCAACATAACCCCAAAAAGCTGAGAGATCCCGACAAGATATCCTTCAATAGTTGTTTCATCACTATTCTCTAGCCGTGTGACAGACACTCCCAACCTTCACCGCTGTTTACTGCTCGTATGTGGACCATCCTATGAAAAAACAGGAAAAAGATGTGGGAAGCTCCTACAAAATGGGTAACAAGCGGCAGGATAAAGGAAAAATAGAGGATATGGAGAACCATGCAATCAAAATTCCACCACAATTAGACAAAAGGTGTCTTTAATATGAAAAAGACACACACAACGTACTGTACATCAACCAACACGATGTAAAATTCCAGCAGTGACTTTAACGACTCCGAAATGTGGGCCACACATTGCGTAATGGTGTTGGTCACAAGTTACGGGACTGCCAGAACGAAGAACAATTTGTCCAGAGATAGAGTATTCCGCGGGCCTGGTCAGTTACCACCATGTCAATTTTACACATTTAATGTCCTCGCAAACAAGCTATTCTTAGCTATTGTGATTATACTGCACATGTTAATGAAGTGCTATATAAAAGCACAGAAGTTATAAAACCAGACAGTTAAATCTCATAACAAACGGTACAAAGGAGTGGTAAGCATCGTGGCCGAAGGCGTGTTCCTGACCTCAAACTTGCCGCGGGCGGCCAACTACCACACCAGCCCTCACTACTGCCTCATTTGTTACACTCAGTTTATATATATATATATATATATATATATATATATATATATATATATATATATCCCAAAAGTGTAATATGAAATGTTATTTGTAATACAGTGTTTTGTTCGCCCCCTTACAGTGATGTGGACTTACGACATAATATAATACCGTAATGTTTACGACACTCAAAAACGAGGAAAAGTTTACCATCACAGTTCCTTGTGGCATGTATTTAGCTGTGTAAGAGTGTTGAAAATATCGGGCGATTTTTTGAAAAAAGGCCATTAGGAAACTTGCAATAAGGCCAGTAGTCGGAGTCGAGCCCGTTCTATAAACATTACTACTCGGTGATGTGGACACGGACATAAATACAAAATATGGTTACCAACGCTTGTTACAGACACCTCGCTGCTAATAACCATACCAGAGGAATCTCCAAAAAGAGAAAACTCGGAGGCTTACTTCAACCAACACAGTGAAGGTCTGAGAACTGAGTCTGGCCTCTCACTACACTATAAAATATATCATTTACAGGTTTAATGGTGACATCTGCGTTCCATTCTTATGCATCATTCCAGTGTGTCATTTTCATGTCATATCAACGTGTTATCTAAGTGTCGTGGAGGTAGGAGCATGAGGGAGGTAAGGGCGTAAGGGAGGCAGGAGCGTGAAGGAGGCAGGAACGCGAGGGAGGCAGGAACATGAGGGAGGTAGGGGTGTGAGGGAGGTAGGGGTGTGAGGGAGGTAGGGGTGTGAGGGAAGTAGGAACGTGGAGGCAGGAGCGTGAAGGGAGCGTGAAGGAGCTAAGAGCGTGAAGGAGGCAGGAGCGTGCTCCCCGTTACTACATGATCATTGCCATCTGTCACAGTTCATGGTCGTCATCATCACGACTTTCCCTGTAATGTACCCGAGGGAAAAAGTACATTTCTAATCACGTGTCATTGATGTGCGAGGATTGCCCCAGGCATAAAATCTATACACAGAGCGGGACGAGAGAGAGAGAGAGAGAGAGAGAGAGAGAGAGAGAGAGAGAGAGAGAAAAAAAAAACACGCACGCGCGCGGCAAAATAGAAATACTTTCTGTGAGGGGACGGTAAGTGTTTCTTGGTCACGACCCCAAACACACACAGGTGAAGAGGGTGTGAGATAAGATATAGACTGGACCATAAAAGAAAAAGAGTACGATAACGGCAAGAATTTCATAAAAAGAGCAGGAAAAAATACAACCTTGGGGAGAACAATACACCATGATGGAGGAGTCGAGAGGAATAACAATTAGCCTCATCTCCGCAAGGTGGATAGCCCACCTGCTGTCAACCTCCTCCGAAATTTCCCACTTCTGAACTTAACCGTGTACTGTACCCTTCTTGCACCCTAGAGCTAATGCTCTCTTCTATCCATATCACCAACCAACCAACCGGACAGCGTGGCGGTATAGTAACGCTCTATACTACTACGACCAGAGGATAATGACGAGTAGGATGTAGGGGAAAACACTAGAGGAGTTCTGCAATGTAATGTGGACCAAGTAACCCCCAGTGACAACACGATATAGGTCAAAGTGACGTGATGCAAGAGGTCATTCACACACACTAGGTTAAAGGTCACACAGTATCTTAACATTACATCATTTAAAATTATACTCCATGTTTTCTCAAATCCAGTTCTTAATTTTTACTTATCGCCGACTAAAAAGCTCGTCTAGACAGCAGCCATCGCCACACTCTGAGATTTGAATGTGGATGTGGGGGGGGGGGGCGGCGATGCTGGGGGTGAAGGTATTACACTAATTCTCTCTCTCTGTGCTTCGGGATGGTGGGGTAATTACTGCACTCCTTCCTATCTTTTACCTAAATATAATGTGCTTATATACATCACAATTCTCACACACGTGTCACTACAATGCTGGAGGTGGTGCAACAGGTGACTTCTACAGAAACGAGCCACATTCCCAAAATCATACGACTTACCTCCCCCTTACCACCAGATCTTATACTTCCGTCTCCCTTAAATCTATATATATATCGGGTATACTTATAGTTCCAGTTATATCTATCTTTCAGGTATACCTATAGCTTCCTGGTATAATGTCATATTTCTGGTATATATCTCTCGTGGAAACCTTTATCTTTCATCGTACACTTATATAATGTACACTTACTAATACACCGTAACCTACACAAATACACCAGATGATCTAAACTTACATAAAAACTCCATAGTAAACATGACCTATATAAACTTGACCATAAAACAAAGACCAACATACGCGATAATATTGAAATCCTCAGTTACAGGCGAGATTTACAGCCTCGTGCGGTTAGGTTTCATGGACATTTCATAAGAACGTTATTTGACGGATGAGATACGTATGGTAATAAAGAGTGAATTAAGACCCCCCCCCCCAACTCGACACCACTGTATACCTGGTCAGTGTTTATCTATACCACGTGACGTAAACTTCTTCCTGATAGCCATATTCAAAGGTTAGGGCAACTTAGGGACCTGTTTTTCGAATCAGTTTCCACCAACACGCTCCGTCTCGTTATAAGGTTTAATATAAAAGATAGACAAGAGTAATAAAAGAAATATATAAGAATAAGAAAATATATATATAGTATTGAAGAATAAAAGGACCAAGTCTGAAATAATATGAAGTAAGGAAATCGCTCTCTTACAAATGGTGGATTTGTAAGAGCGCGATTTCCTCCCGACTCCCAGGCCAGCCATGGCACACAGCTCTACTTCTCTGGATTACTGGGAACGGTGGTATGCCACCCTGGCCTCCTTCCATGACACAACAATCTTCCTCTCTCACACATAACTCATTCTCCTCGCATCCCAGATGTGCTGGATGATCTGTTATGATCTTCCACCACAAGGAGCATGACTTGCATCTGCTGCTTATCACTTGATTTCCCAAAACAAAACTTAGGGAGAATGACACCATAATGGTACCAAGACAGATTCAGCGAACTATTAAAAAAAATGGGTATCATTGATGTTAAATTCCAATTTCAGTGTGATGGATGTTAATGGAACATCAAAATTCAGTAAGCATAAAGAGATTGGAAAATTTAGACTTCATCTGTGTCATCACATGCGAGTGTTCCAGTTGAAAAATAATTTAATTCCCTGATGAGACATGATCACAGTGATGAGGTTATCTGGAACTCTCGTTGTCGTATTGTAGATAAGTAATAGTGCCATGCCAGCATCAAACAGCAGAGTTAACACAATAATAACCGCTGCACACAAGTGGTAGCCTAGATTTAAGCAGCGGTCAAGACTCACAGTAGGTATTATAGTACTCACATTCATGCCGTTCTCGCAGTTAAGGTACTTGTGGTCAACGGTAAAGAAAGTCCCCGTCATTTTCCGGCTATCAGACTCCCGCGCCTGTAACAAGAACCCCTTGAATGCGTCGTTCTCGTCCGCCTGCAGTGCAACCAGCATCCTCTGTCCACCATTCACCTTCACTGAACTCGGAGTGATGGTGTACGGGGAGCTGCTGGTTTGCGGGTCGGCACCATGGAGGGGAACTCTGGTTGCACAGGTGGAATCGGGCGCGCCAACAGAGTATGCCCATGCTCCTCCAGTGACACAGGCCCATATCATTAGCAAGGCTGTCGCCACTCTCCTATCCATGCCTGTGGAAACAAGTTGTCATTATGTTAAAAGGCCGTATAACATCGAAGTACAACAATTACGATTACAATAGTTTGTGCATTAATATAAAGATCAATAGAATACATGGTTTGCTCACTCGTCCAAGAAAACGGAACCTCTCGAAGCTCGTGACGTCACTTGTGCCCACAATTCAACACACACAGGATAGACAGAGCACACCATCCCACCATGATTCAACTTCAACACCAAGACAAAACAACAATATCCTGAAGCCTTCTCATATATATATATATATATATATACACTGTATATATGTGCGTGTGTGTATATATATATATATATATACACTGTATATATATATATATATATATATATATATATATATATATATATATATATATATATATATATATATATATATATATATATATATATATATATATATATATATATATATATATATATATATATATATATATATATATATATATATATATATATATATATATATATATATATATATATATATATATATATATATATATATATACGTGAGCCATGACTGGGGAAATCCAGAGTGTGACAGGTGCGTGCGTATGCTAGAGTCTAGACAGCAGAAAGGAACGGTGGGGAAGGTGACCTTCGTCACGACACAATCTACTCTGTTTACACTTGTAATGACGGCCACTACTCACTCCAGTGCCTTAACACCTGGTGCCAACACCACACCCATCCCACTTGGAAAAAAAAAGTACCAGGAGTGGGCCCGCGGACGTGTTCTGTTGTTGTCGTTTGATTGTTTTACTGGTCGTCAACATCGGGGTCATTACGGCCGTAAACTTGCATAGGTTTGCCTCTTGTATGGAGGGTTTGTTGTTGGACGGTTTAGCATCTTGTATCCTAAAGGAACCCGTGAGTCCTGGTGTTCTTGTTGCGGTCTCAGTTGTTCTGTCACCGGACGGTAAGCTATTATAGGAACGGCGTACAGCCACATTTTTTTTTTTTTGGTGGGGGGGGGTGGGGGTTATTTTATGAAATAAGTAAAAGATGGTGAATGAACTGCTTGGAAGGTGAAGGACTGTATGATTGAATATAAGCTTAGGGTAACATCACACGTATATAATACAAAAACTGGTGAAATAAATTTACAAACATAACATGCTTTTGGTCCCATTCTATTGATTTTGAATACATTTCTAATATTTTATTTTATTTTTTTATAAGGGGAAGGAGTTTTTCGTAAAACCTTAATATACTGTACATGCGGTATACACCCATTTGAACATGAACGCACTGTAGGCTATATAAACCCAACCCACAGATATACAATAAGTGCACGACACATGGGCATACACATCATACACAGAAACACATTAAATCACATTTTGTCATGGAGTTGGGTCTCAAGCAAGGTGTCTAACACGATAAGTGACTCCTGTCAAGGAGGAGGTTTTCCACCGTGAATGGCGCTTTCGCCTCCTCGCTCTGGTGTAACTTTGACAATGACAAGAGATGTTTTACTGTTAATCTTGTTCGACATATAGTACACTGCGGTGGGAACGATTGTTCGGTGTGTGGTTCCAGGTAAGTAATGAAGGTGTCATTCTCAACTGGGCAAGCATATTCTCTTCCACCGTTGTCCCTATGTGCCGTGGACCACTCTTCAATAGTAAGTTTGACTTTAAGATGGATATTTAACTCGGTCCAGTTGTTTTGCCATCTCCTTTTGACTAAGTTTACCGAGACACCGCAGTAGCTCCCAGGGTACTCCTTGAGCACCCCTTAAGTTCTACCGCGGATTTTACTAATCGGTCTGCCCTTTCATTGCCTGCAGCAATGTTGCAATATATTACAATATCGTCTTTAGTTATAGCTCAAGAAGACTGATATTTTTACTTAACATCATTTAATTGCTCAAGAAGAACGTATGATCATTCTACTTAAATCATTTTATAACGAGAGGAAATTATGAGCCTTTTACATAGCAATCAGCATCATGGCAACCTTATTGAGTATATAGCACCCAAACATAATAATTATTATTTTTTTTTATGAGAACAACAGTTTGGGAAGTAAAAATGGTGGAACGTGTAAGAGACACCTGACAAAAACCTTGAATTTTGCCTCTCAGCACTATTTTTTTCAAGTTCATATAGCAGCAAGCAATTTAAAAATTAGTTTTAAAGTAAGCTCGTATCCAAACGTGAGGACCTTTCTCTTTCGTTCCTTGGTGGCTGTATCATTCTTCGTTACTTTCTCGTCAATCAAGAATCCCTGTCACTGGAGATCTTTTCCACAGGCATCGCCTGGGCCACACCGTCACAATCACCTGTCTTTGATTACAAACTCTCTAAGCTCGTCTCTTCGACTCGGTAAATCTCACAGTTTCCATGAGGTCCTTGACAGCCAAGAGAGAGAGAGAGAAGGTTTGTCGAGAGTATTTGTTGTGAACTCCTCTTTAATAGTTACTTTCTATTACATTCTTCCCACCAATTTTCTCAGTCTTTTAGGTTTGTTGAGGCTTTTTAGTTTTACGCACCGATATCACACAAAATATCATTCATCATTCACAACAACTGCCTGGAACACACCACCCACGATTACCGATTAAATTACTCTCACAGTACCATCATATTTTCTCAATACTTTCCTGTAGCACAGCTGACGGCACTACAAACCTTTGTGAAAGTTATTCATGTATCATCTACATACAATTAAAAAAATCCTCCCTCGAAATTCCTAAAGCCTATTTGGAAAACTCGAAAAATTCTTCACTGACAAAATACATAATATTGTACAGTACCAGCAAAAAGCTGCTCTGTGTTTTTCATCCTAAACGTGCATCTTTTCCAAGAGAATATACCGCAGCAATCAGAGCATTAGAGACAGCTATGCCCATGACGGTGAATGTCAGCACCCCCAAGAAATACGGTATCAGGCGACACGCCAGACGCAATGATCAATGGCGCTCAACGTATTTTCTGGTAATGCTTGTCTTTTGCCACTGTTGACGAGTGGAACCATAAACACACATCTACACCAACACACACCAATATGTTTTGTCTACAACCGCATTCTTAAACATCAATCGTAAGTAACCCGACGTTGGTTATTAAAAAAAAAAATAATGTTGTCCGTGACATTATAAGGAATATTTTTATATAACCACAGTATATTATCATGTAAGTATTTCTTGTTCTGACCTAACCTACTTAACCAAACGTCTCAAGAGCAAATTTGTTTAGAACAAAAAATGCAGCAAAGCTACCCTACATTTTGTTGCAGTTCAAGGTATACTGGATGATGTTCGTCAAAACGTGTAATCGGACATTTCGTGAAATTAATATTTTTTTTTTAGTCAAATAGCGAAATTAATGTTTCAAGCGGGTTAGGTCCTAGCCTAACCTAACTAACGAAAGGTAACCTAACCTAACCCGATTGAAACATTTATTTCGCTATTTGACTAAAAAAAGATCAGTCATTTCGTGAAATGCTTGATTATAGTTTGACTAACATATAGACATAGTACACATGTAAATAAAGTGCAACTAATAATTAGTCACTGGTTCTTAGTTTGACGAACAGTTAGTTAATTTTGTTGATGGAAATAAATTATTAATAATTTTATGCCGATTTAAAAAAAATGCACTTTTTTGGAGAAACGATAAGAATGTATAGTACTGTACTGAAAATTATATTCGAAGATTTATTAATGATTAGTGGAAAAAAAAGCCCAAGTCAAAGGAAATGCTAATTTGCTAGGTCAGATTTTGCTACTAGTGTTGATCCTTCTATACAGGTTCCGGATTTTTTTTCTTTACTACTTTTTGGGGGCAGAAATATATGGTGCTATTGTAATTTTAGAACCCAATTTCAAGAATAGTTATTTTATGATGGTTACGCACCTTACCCAGCAACTTGATTTTTTCTATAAAAGATATATTAATTTTTATATCATGAAAGACCCCCCCCCCCCTCTTTTCCAAATAGGAAAGGAAAATGCTTTTCCTCGTATCATTTTTACGATATTTACGGGTCGACCACTATTCCATGAATACGTGCAAGACGCGTCCCTTTCTGCAAAATGATGGTTGTTGTTATCAAGGTTGGTTGTAATAATGTTATATTACTGTGCTTCAATAACTAAGGTCTTTAAGCGCGTAACAAGGTTAGTAATTGCAGTATATGTTACATCAATTAAAGTTTGTTGGGTATAGGGAAATGAAATGAATTCACGAACTGATAACGTGAAACTACACAATATAGTAAGATACAGCCTACAGTTCACTTTCAGCTGTCATAAATGCCAAGGTTTTGTTGACATTTTGGATCAGTGAACGAGGGCTTCTTACATTTGAGGAGTGCGGAATTCTGTTCAGTTTTATAAGTTTTAATCGTTTTTTTTTCTTTCTTTTTTTACGCATTGTTAAGAATTTTATGATTTATGGATCGTGGTCAAATAGCCGTTATATATTACCATCCAGTTTCAAACCATGTGCAAATCAATATTGTGAGCTTTTCTGCCGTTAGGCCTACAGATAAAACCAGCACACCTTGATTCTGCAGGGTTAATATGTAACGAAATATGATATTCATACAAAACTCCTACTTGATATTTCTCAATTTTTTTACAATCTTCCAGAAAAAAACCCACCAGCTATTCATTCCTTGAGAAAAATATAAATATAGTACAGTACTCCGAATTATCATTTAAATAACTATAAACGTCCGCGGGAAGACACACTGGATTTTTTTTAAGTGACTAGAAAACTTTTAGAGGTCTTATTAAAAAGCCGCCGGCGGCCGCCCTGAGGCTCCGTTTGTATCCAGCACAATTGTATTACAGAAGGTGAAGAGAGTACAATAATGTAGGCATATAATGTTACCCTCCCTGCTATCATCACCAAACCCTGTTGCTTCCCAACACCCGACTGACAGCCCAAAACAGTAGTTTAACTCTATGATGAACCCAAAAATTTTTACGTATGATATAGATTGCAAATATGCTTTAAAGTTAGGGAACATAATTTCTCTTTTTGCGTTTTCAAAATTCAATTTGTTAAGACTATTATGATCCACACGATTCTAAAAACAAAATCACAGGTGTACTGCAGACTAACTGAATTTTAATATTTTCATGCCTGCATAAATCCTTGCGAAATACTTTGAAACACGATTCAGTTTTCCTACAGAAAAGGTACAGGGTTTGGCTGGGAACCTGGGGAGTTTTAAACTTGACCCAATCTGACTTTGGAAGGGGTGGGAAGCGCTACTTCGTACACCCAGAGATTTAAACCAGGACCACCAAGTATAAACGCAAATAAATATTGAAACAAATTAGTCGGCGAAGTCAAGTGATCAAGGCGTCGATATCAGCATATTGTATAACGTGATCTTATGACGACTTGATCCACTACCAGTATATGTGAAAGAAGTTGGTGACAGGTTTCTCGGCAGAGTCCGTGCTAGGCGGTCCTCATTACTACAACTATCTTCCTTGAGTAAGCTTGTTTGCTTCTTTGAGGAGTTTCACTCGAAGTAAAGTGATATTTCAAAACGAGTTTGTTAACAAAGGTCTAGTCTAGTCATCAATATCCTCCATTTCACAATCTACATCCCAGATTATGAACAATTTATATCTGATTTAAGGGAGGGATAAATTATATAAACACAATACACTAATGACTTCCGAGTCTGATCGATAGTCCATCAATGCCTTTCGGTAATACAGTAATAACTCTTAAAAATACGTAGTTCGCATGATGTTGTCCAAAATATGAGACTTTCTTGTGCAAACCAGCATACCAATTTGGTTAGACGAAGGTACAGGGTTGTAGCGTCACAAACCAACACCAAGCACATTTGGTAAACAATGAAGTGTATAGGAAAAGTTGGCCTGTAAATGAGGGTTAACGGGGGTCATGTGTACGGATGAGTGGGAGGCGGCAGTGGTCTTCATGGGCAGAGCAGCTGGTGCGACCGTGTGAGCCCTCCTGCTGCCTTCACACCTGACGGAATCTACCTGTACCCTCAACTAGCGACCTGCACTTGTGCCCATCACTACGCTCCCCTGTACTATTACAAGTCAAAGATAGTTTACTGCGTACTTTGTTGAATATGCTTGCTATTAAACTCTTTCAATAAACAAAAATAATTTGTTCTGTTCTGGTCATCGATTGATTGTAAGTGTAACATGCCAGCTTTAAATTGGTGATTATTTTATACGATTTTTTCGAAGTCAATGATATTAGTGATCAAAACTCCATCACCACTCATGACGACTGTTCACAAATCAAGTGAGCAAAGTTGGGCCTAGGAGTACGTACTTGTATTCAAACGACTCGTAGGAGGTCGAATTGCGAGTTACCAGGTCACGGAAGTCTAGTTTGTGTGGCTTTAACATATTACAAATCTACTTTCCACCACAAATAAACAGACATCGACGGAAAAATGACTCGCTCGTCTAAAAGAAATGTGTCAACCAACTCACTCACCTGAACCCATCTTGAAGGCTTGTATTGGGTCAATCTGTCCGAATGTAAACTCCAAATCGTATTAGGTAATCACTCTGTAAATGCACTTTCTATAATTTCACCCTTCGGAGTTCATATAGGCATAAAATACGAAATCACAGCGACCCCACGCCTGGCCTAAAATGATCGTACCACCACCTTCGTGTCCAACAGTGAACTAACGTTGCCCGCGGCTGACTGTTGGGATCTTGTGAGTCTGGGTTGGAACCAAATCATTCTTTCCATTCACCTGAACGTTACGCTTCTTCCAGGGCCACGCGCGAGTTACAACTACAGTTGCTGTATTTTCTTTTACGATCCGACGGTCTAATTTACGAAATTAATTCTTTCTCTTGAATTATTTACTACTCGCAGACATATGTACTACTAAGAGTATTTAACAATATTGTTATAACTTAACAAAACAGGCCAAAGTCTTGTATAAAATTTCTCAGAGTTAATGGGCAAGGATACTATACCAAAGACTATATACGAAAGATAGGAAAGCTGACCGAAATGTTGTGCTAATAGTCCTAAAAGTGCTGAGCCAAAACAATAGATGGCGCTAATGTGCAACTCGTGTATTCTGCAAAGACTATAGTTTGTTTATGTCACGTGACCGCGAAATTCATTTACTGTCAAAATGGCAGCAAGAGGACACCCGTACGTGTTTTGCCGCAGAAGCAAGAAAAATCATCCCCAATTTGTATACCATTCATTCCAAAAGGATAAAGAAAGGTAGGAGCACAGCTTTGAATTACATACATATGATATGACAGGGTTATTTATCATTATATTTACAAACAATGTGAAAACTCCCTGCAGGCAAAGTACTAATTTTTAAATATTATTTACAGGTGCTTGCAATGGATACAAGTACTGGGGCTTGAGAAAATATAAGCAAAAACGCCAGATTATACAGCCATCATATTTCCGAAGGCAATTACACTGCAGGGAAAGCAACTTTTAGGCTTTGTAGAAATGTATGTCCAGATTTTAACCTAGGTTTGTATTATAATATGTACAGTATGTCAAATATCAAATATTGCAAATAAATATGTTTGCAAATGTAAATGTCTATAGACTTTATTTTATGATCCACATTTATAAATCTATTTTTTTGGAAAATAAACCATTAAACTATTTATGTATATCCATCACCCCCAAAAATACTGACTGTTACTTATGATCCTAAAAAACAATACAATATTTAATATTCTAAAGCATAGAAAATGAGTTGGCATTCAGTTGACTTAAATGAATACATGAAATAGGAAACTTATGTTCCAAACATGAATAAAAATTAAAGGGAGTAACAATTCTTCCAGTAACTCATTATAACATAGCAAGGTGAACGACTAATTTATATATTTTATGTGTATTATATGGAGAAAATGTAAAATTGGTTGTATTCAATTTCAATTCTTTATCCCTTGATTGAGGAAGCGGGATCCTAGTGCTGTTGTGGGGTTTTTGGGATGTTTGGTTCACACTCAGGATGGGATGGAGAAAGGAAACTCACGATGTGCTCTCATGTATACATGTTGTATTGGATGTACAATGCAGCTTGGTGCTGGGAGGGCAGCATGGTTACAAGCGTGATGTAGAGAGAGCTGGTTGGTGAGGATGCTCAGAGGAGGACCAGCCTGTGGGTCGCCATGCTCGCCGGCAGGAGCGAGGATCGCCAGGCAGGCAGAGGAGGAGCGAGGGCCGCCAGGCAGCGGCGGAGGAGGTGTTGCTGGCTGGTTGGTGTAGGTAGAAAGAGGCAGGTCACCACGAGGTCAGGTCTTAAATAGCGGGGGTTGGCGTGGCTTAGTAGTTGACCCCCGCTCCGTGATGTATGGCGGCGCTGGTTGACCTAGACCACGAGGCATACACTGGGGAATTGGTGGGGTCGGCTACTCAGCAACAAACAGCGTTTGTAGGGGAGAAATCCACTACACTGTCACTAGGTACCCCTGTACAATGACACCAGAAGCATCTGGCAAGTGTGACAAGTATATACAGTATAAATATTATTAAGGGGCTTACTAAAGCCTAAGGAAGGAAGGATATTCCTTTAACACATAATCAATGTTATTTACAAAATATCTGGTCAGTATGGGGATGATCATCGTGTCTCAGTCAGGGGGTCGTGGAGTGGTGGTCCAACAGGCGTCACGGAAGCGTTGTGTGTGGGAACATCTTAGGAGGTAGTGGATAAGGGTGCTGCTGTCAGGTCTTCTGCATAATGCACAAGAGTTGGTTGTATTAACATATCTTAAGCATATTTCATATGAAAAATTAACACGTTAGCAACCGTTAAAATGATGCTCCGTATAGTGATGCGCCAACTCAATAGATGGCGCTGTCGTGGATTTAGACCGCACATCTTTTTTAATGGCAGGGATATAGTCGCTTTCCTATCTTTCGTATATAGTCTTTGACTATACTATACTATAGTCTTTGCTCCAAGCACTATTATGTTGTTTCTGCGCTCGAAACGTTCCCGTTGTTCCTTGTCTCCCATAACAGTAGGTCTGCTAGTTGCCACCTCTCGGATACTGCATTACCCTCCGCCACCTTTTGTGGCCTACTGCTTCTATACACACGACCACCTGGCCCCTGGTAACCAGCGGTGGAAGCTGGGTAAGCCGCGAAAGGTTCGTAACAATACTGACACTTTTCTTGAAAAGAGGGCAGAATTTGAAACCCTTCTCAAGATACTGTAGTGGTTATTCTCCCCTACAACAGCCCAGCCGTGTCCCATAGCAACGGTGTTCTGCCAAGCGTAGTCGTCTTGTAGTGGATTTCTCCCCTACAAACGCTGTTTGTCGCTGCGTAGCCGGCCCCACGAATTCCACAGTGTATGCCTCGTGGTCTGGGTCAACCAGTGCCGCCATACATCACGGAGGTCAACTACTAAGCCACGCCTACCCCCCGCTATTTAAGACCTGACCTCGTGGTGATCTCTCTCTTTTCTACCTACACCAACCAGCCAGCAACACCTCCTCCTCCTCCGCCTGCCTGGCGTTCTGCCTCACATGTGCTATGCAACCCTGCAGACAACAAGTCTCCTACACCGCCTGGAGGGAAGGGGGAGTATTGTAGTGGATTTCTCCCCTACAAACGCTGTTTGTCGCTGAGTAGCCGACCCCACCAATTCCCCAGTGTATGCCTCGTGGTCTAGGTCAACCAGCGCCGCCATACATCACGGAGCGGGGGTCAACTACTAAGCCACGCCTACCCCCTGATATTTAAGACCTGACCTCGTGGTGACCTGCCTCTTTCTACCTACACCAACCAGCCAGCAACACCTCCTCCGCCGCTGCCTGGCGGCCCTCGCTCCTCCTCCGCCTACCTGGCGATCCTCGCTCCCGCCGGCGAGCATGGCGACCCACAGGCTGGTCCTCCTCTGAGCATCCTCACCAACCAACTCTCTTCTTCTAGCTACAGCCGCAGCAAGCAACACCACCTCCTCCGCCGCTGCCTGGCGGCCCTCGCTCCCGCTGGCGAGCATGGCGACCCACAAGCTGTCCTCCTCTGAGCACCCTCACCAACCAGCTCTCTCTACATCACACTTGTAACCACGCTGCCACTTCCCAGCACCAAGCTGCATTGTACATCCAATACAACATGTATACAGAGAGCACATTGTGAGTTTTCTTTCTCCATCCCATCCTGAGTGTGAACCAAACAACCCGTACCCCACAGTCTGAAGGCGCACAAGTTTCTCTGACCAGTCTAAACGTGGGGGGGGGGGGGGTCGACACCGGCAACTTACTTCCGTTTCACGTCCGCTGGACGACGTGTATAGAAGTCCCTATTCTCGCCTCATTATTTCTGGCCCAGCAACTGTAGTAGCATCATGACTGGACGAGGCAAGGGTCTCGTCCTGCCACCTCCTCGCCACGTCCAGGCGAGATGCTGCTGCCTCCAACTTAAACCCAAAATAACACAAGCGGTGTTTAGCCACGGCACCTTTCTCTCCTAAAATTCACTTCAATCCTCCCTTTATCCTTCCCCTGAACCTCCTTACCCCCTGTCACTAGCATTTAAGTCAAGTCAAGTCGTGTGGGGCATTCAACCTGGAGGCCAGCAACACGCAACATCTCTTCTAACGAAGCTCCTTCACAGCTACTCCCTTCAGCACGCTATTCACCCAACGTGTCTTCTGAGCAAGCTTCTCTCCACACGGCATCCCTAGCACTGCACTGTACTTACAATATATAAAGAAAACGCAATTGTTAGTTTCTCTCCTACCTCGTCCTGAGTCTGGGATATCTTCTGGCCACACATCCAGCACGCTACAATACATTAACCCGATATCGTAAAAAAACGCAACTACTGGCTCACGTAAGCTACTTTAGTCCACATAGGACGATAAAAATAATGCAGAAATTGCATTGAGATTACCGTCTAGAATCCTCTTATCACCAATATCAGGTTGTCAGAGGGTTGGAGGCGTGATCACGTGACTGTTGCCATAGCAACGAGTGGGGTGTAGACGCTACCACTGCTCAGTGCTCATCGGCTGCAACCCAACCATACACACTGTCAGTAGTTATGTTTGGCTTGTGGTAGCCTTACCGTGATTTCACCATAGCAACTGTTCAGTTTTTCGACATCAATTTACGCTCTTGAGGTGAGTCAGTTCCATATCTTAGTGAAAACACAATCCGAAATGTGTGCGAGTTAACGAACAACTATCAACAATACAATCAGGATTAATTTTCAGTCCGTGGTTTAAAATACTGTTGAGTTACAACGTGAGAAAGGTGGAGGTGAATCAAATGAAGAACTTTAATATACTGATAAACTATGAGTAAGACTTCATCATTGGAAATACGAATTTTCTGGTCAACGAATGTATCACGTATACGTGATTATTAAACGTGGTGAACGAAATATTTGCATATAGTGACAGCCACAGCCGTAGCAGTGTTAATACGAACAGCTGTGTATTTTAAAACAAAATCAGCTATATCAACAAAAACAGTCGATATATATATACTGTATATATATATATATATATATATATATATATATATATATATATATATATATATATATATATATATATATATATATATATATATATATATATATATATATATTGCACTCAAAATGAAACAATGCATATTCTATCTTTAAGAATATTTCGTAGACAATAGTCACACTGACACACCCCATAACTACTGGGTGATGGCTACAGCCCTGCCTGGTGGATTTGGGGAAAACTGATATAGGAAAATCTATAAGTGGTAAATGGTAAATTGTCTTAATATCGCTTTAGACACTGGTGCAAATGGTGATGGGTGCGGGACAAATGGTGATAAAATGGTACAATTGGTGATAGAAATTATGAAAGTAGTGGAAATATTGTAGAAGCAGTGGAGAAGTATTGATAGACGCGATACAACTGGTGAGAGAAATGGTGCAACTGGTAATCGAAAGTATTAGAAACGGTACATTTGGTGACAGAAACGATACGGTAGGCGAGTAAAACGTATAAAGTTTATACATTTATACTATAATCCAGGAAGATATTTGGGATCATGTGAAAAAGGAGAACAGTAATGGAACAAAAATAAATCCGTAAATCTATAATAAAGCGTGACGAATGAAGATGTGTCCCTGCGTACGTTTGCCCTTGATTCTGGCCACGCTGCATTATATTGCGAATAATCGTGAAAGACCGAAAACAAAAGCATCATTGCTTATAAGTGCTTGAAGTTAAAAGGGGAAACAAAATATGCTGGACTTAATCAGTACTAATATTTTTAACAACGAAAAACAAAGGTGTTTACTAAAAGATCTAATTTTCAGCTTGAGCAAAAATATAATCACAACTTTCATACAAGAAATATTTTCAATCACACATCCCCTTATCCGTGTTATAAAAAAACCCCGTCCTGAGTAGAGAAACAACACCTTCCTGGTATATCCAACATGCTTACTTTAGCTAGGCTATCCGTCGTAGCCGACGACGACTCTGCTTCATTATGAAATCGATGATGAGCGGTGAATTAGGGATGTTGCCGGCGGTGCCACTGGATGTGGGTGTGTAGTCCGATCCTTGACCCGCAGACTCTATCGCACATTGGGCAGGACAGCTCCGGGTTGGGTGGGTGGTCTCTGGGAGCGCGATTGTGTCTCCGTTCCCTTCGTGCACATCTGGCCTTATTGCACTCGTTCTCGAAATGTTTGACGCCCTGGGTACAGGTGGAGCGCCATAGACTACGATCGGATGCAATGGTTTCAACACCCTTTGTAGGATTTTTACATTTTTGAGCGTCATTCTGCGCTGGTCGTTGTACCCTTAGCATTGTCCTCCAGGGTTGCTGCTTGCCTCTGGCAACTGCCTGTAGAGGATCTGGCGGGGGAGTCAGGGCTCTGGCATGCGGATGACATTGTGTTGGTCACACTATATATATATATATATATATATATATATATATATATATATATATATATATATATATATATATATATATGGATCATATGAAGATCCTCCCCCCAAACCTACTTGGGGGAAGATCTTTATATGATCTGGGGCGACAGCAGATGTTTTTCCAGCGACTTTCTCGGGTTTTCCCAACATGACTCATAGAGGACTCACGGCTGCTGGGTATATAATCTCTGTCTCTCCATTGAGATTCATTCTCGCCTCACTTCTACAACACGCAACACCTCCTCCTCCGCCGCTGCCTGGCGGCCCTGGCTTCTCCTCGCCTGCCTGGTGGTCCTCGCTCCCGCCACCGAGCATGGCGACCCACCAGCTGTCCTTCTCTGAGCTTCCTCACCAACCAGCTCTCATTCTGGTCTCTCTTCTTGAACAAGCAACACCTCCTCCAGCAAGCTCCATGCTGTCAGCATTCATTCAACCAGGAGGCCAGCAACAGGCAACATCTTCTCTAACGAAGCTCCTGCACATCTACCTCCTTCAACACGCTACTCACCGAACGTCTCCACTGAGCAGCTCCTCACCACACGGCACCTCCAGCACCAGACTGTCTATCATATAACGTATATTATACAAGAAAACCACTTTAGAGTTTCCATCCATCCTGAGTGCTAGACAACATTATACCACGAATTCCTACAGTGTTCTTTAACATACTTACCGATTTTTACTTATGTTTATTTATCTAAATATAAATTCATATAGGTTGGCTCATTGCTCTATCCATTTTAAAATCAAATTAACAGTATATACTAGCAGAAAGGCATAATATAATGCGAAACAACAAAGCCCAACCATTAATTAAGCAACGGGGAACTAAGTAACCAATCACCGATCACGTTTACATTCATTCATAATTTTTACTAGGTAGTATAGTAAACAAACGGCCTTGAGTTGCCAGCTGTCTCCAGCAGTGTTCGAAGAATCTTGAACGTGACTGTACCTTCTCTACTAAGGGAAGTGTCTTAGTGCACTTGCAGGAGCACACTTAAGTGAGGTGTTTACTGGGTAACAACTGATAAGAGTCTCTGTCACTCACCTAGGGAGAGAGAGCGAACAGGCCTCGGAAACATGCAAATACAGAGGAAACTTGTCAGATATGGTGTTGCTGACATGCGCTGACCTCAGCCTGCCCTAGCTCGCTCCCCGAAGGTAATGTCACCCCAGCAATTCATAACATCAACACTGAGTCATGGTTGAATAAGTTAGTGAATAACTACTGAGTCATTGTTGAATAACTTAATTTGGTATTATACATTTGGGTAAATATTTATATAATACAAATGGTGCTGTTACAACGTGCCTCTATGCTGGTAGCATTGACATGCAGGAGGATGTCAGTATGAGGGACTTTGTCCTCCTGCCATGTCAGACCAACAATGAGCTGCAAACAACGGATATGAAAGGCCTCAAGAGATCTGATGTGCCTTTGGTACGTAATCCACGCCGTAGAACCAAATAAGATGGTGGAAATACAGACAGCTTGGGAAACAGAAAGTTTGATTGAAACTTTGGGGCTATTATTGTCGAACACTGGTGCGCAGACGACCAAAGGAGGCAGCTGCAAGATGGATCCGAGCCTGGATTATCTTGTCGATGTTGTGTTTGGGAGTAAAAACATTACAGAGGTAGGTAAAATGTTCTGCTTGTTTGACAGGTTCTCCAATGACCAGGAATGCAAGTGGTGGGTCTGCGCCTCTGTGTTGAGCAATTATCTCTTTTTTTTGGGGGGGATGTTAATTTTTAGTTCGATGGCCAGATATATTGCGGAGACAACCGAGAGAGCCTCTGGTGAGTGAACTACGAGCGCGCAGTCGTCAGCATATTGGAGCTCCAGGAGGTGGGAGGTCGACGTTTTTGTTATTGCCTGGAAACGGCGGAGGTTGAACGGGTTGCCGTCTAAGCGGAATTGGATCTTCACGCCGTCATCGTCGCTCAGGGCGTTATGACTGATCAGGGTCACTGCTGTGAGGTAGAGATTGAAGATGACGGGCCAAAACGCACCCCTGTTTCACACAGACCTCAACTCTAAAGGGTTTGGACTTGGTGCCCCCTGCAAGTACACATGCTTGCATGTCCTCATGGAAGCCCTTGGGGATTTTAAGAAATTTTGGCGGGAATCCAAGCTTAAGAGATAACTGTCCAGAGCAGTTCTCTATTGACGGTATCGAAAGCTTTCGTTAAGTCGATGAAAGCTACGTAGAGGTCACAGTTTTGTTCATGACATTTCTCTTGTAGTTAACGCACAGTAAAAATCATATCAGTTGTGCTGCGATCTTTACGGAAGCCACATTGCGTCTCGGGCAGAGTGGACTCAGCGATGTGTTGGGTTAATTTGCAGAGCATAATTCTGGCAAGTACTTTGCCAGCCACAGCCTCGGCTGTTACCACAGATGGAACGGTCGCCTTTTTTCTTGTAGATTCCAATGATGTTCGAGTGGAGACGCTGGAGGAGAAGGTAGCCTCCGCTCTTAAAAATTTCTGGCCCGTCATTTTTGTTGTTTTTGAGGCCCTTGACAGCCCGTAGGGTCTCAGAGAACTCAGGTGCTGCATCGAGTTCTACCGCCAGGGGCACTCTGGGATGGTATCTAATATAATGGGCTCAGTAGGGTTCGTTTGGTTGAGAAGTCTACCAAAGGGTTCCGCCCGTCGATCCAGGATTTGCTGTTTGTCCTTGAGGAGTTCACCGCCGAGTGATCTCACTGGAATGATGTTGCGCTTGATAGGACCATGAATGGCTTTGGTGGTATTGTAGAAGCCCCTGATGATCGTTCACGTTGGCGAAGCTCTGGATTGCTTGAGCTCTGGTTTGCCACCACTCGTTTTCCATGTTTCTCAGAGTCCTTTCTGCTTCGGCCATGAGTGAGCACCAGTTGGCACTGAGTGCAGTATATTGTGGGTTTGAGAGTAAAGCATAGTGGGCTTTATTCTTGGTAGCAAGAAGATCGTATATGCCATCAGCATTCTCATCGAACCAGTCCCGGTGACGTGGTCTGGTTGTGCCGAGGATGTCCTTTGCAACTTCATATATGGACAAGCGGAGGTTGTTCCACTCATTGTCCACGTCTATTGTGTTGCTACTTAAATCGATTGTGGGTGTGGAAGACAGACGCTCTGCTCGGGTTCTGCAGATATTGTCAACTACTGTTGGGTTTTTGAGGGCCTTGTAATTGAATTTTTTGTTTGGAGGTCGTAATGGCACTTGGGGACGGATTTCGAGCCTCATCTTGGAGCGGATTAGGTTATGGTAGGTAGAACATTCTGCACCTCCTATGGTCCGGGTTTGGAGAACTTCTCGTTGGTCACGTTGCCTGACAATGGTGTAGTCGAGTAGGTGTCAGTGCTTCGTCCTTGGGTGTCTCCAGGAGGTTTTATGCTTGTTTTTAAGTTGGAATAAAGTATTGGTCACGACTAGATTATGTTCTGAGCACAAGAAGAGGAGTCTTAGGCCATTGTTGTTCCTGTTGCCGATGCCGCGGTGGCCCAGAACGCCGGCTCATTGGTGAGATTCTGTGCCAACTCTTGCATTAAAGTTACCGGGGATTATGATAAGGACATTACACACGCACACGTTTATAATCGACTTCAACACATCCAAGAAGCTCTTCCCGTCAGGCTGTCTGTTTAGTACTCAGAGCTTGTCACCCTCCTCTCTCACATGGGAAACTGACCCTTACCATTTCATTATATCACCACAACTATCTTACCGCTGGTACGTCACCACTACTATCATATCCGTGTTACATCATTCGAAGCAAAACTCTGAAACCTTCCCTCTTTTTAGCAAACTGTTTTACCAATTGGACACTGGTATGAAGGTGAATGATAATCTAATTATAATTTTTTCTCATCTTTAAATCCCAATCACAAGTTTGAGGTTTAGGGTTTCGATCCCTGAATCTGTTGACTAATACAAAGTTGCTCGATTCCTACATACCTGTAGCTTGTAAAACAATTAGTTATTCACTGTTATAGCACAAGCATCCTCTTTTTCAGCCAATTCTAGTGATTTTGTCTTCATTTTGTCGGCTAAATCTCTGGATAAAAACAGATTCTCATAATACAAAGTAAGATTGACAAATAAATCTGCAAACTGAGATTCGCTCAACCAAAATATTCATTGTCGTATAGCTCATTATTTAAAATAGATCAATGTTTAATAAACATATTCAAATATCAAGTCATATAATGTCTTGTCTTAGTGTATTCCCTAGATAATATATGTTTTTATTTTCATTTTGATGTACTGTACTATGCATGACTCCACGTGACCTGAGGTGCCCTTCAGCAGGATGTTGACCAGGCGGGAAGTGGTGATCGAGAAGCCGTTCCGTGATCGTCGCTACCGAGACCACAGACGGAAGGTAAGTCACGGGGGGGGGGGGGAGATAGCTTCAACCTAAAGTTGTTATCTATAAGCAAAAGATCCTCCCTACAAAATTTTCTATTTGCTATTATAAGTCTCATTTACTGTCACTACCCTGTGCATACAGTCAATGCCTTCTACAAAGTCGGAAAAAAATTAAAAATAAACTCGGCCCAGAGGCCCATTAAGAGTAGTTTGGATACAATATACCTTCGGTACATAAGGAGGTATCGTAGTCTGTACTGTACTCGACCGACTTCACTCCCCCAAGTTGCAACTCGGTGGAGTGTGGTGCCGTGGGATCGAACCAACGATCCATAGGAGAGGAGGCGAACACTGTCTCCACTTAGCAGCTCCACCCCCTACATACAGTTAACGCCTTCTAAATACAGTCGATACCTTCTACGTAGACCTAGCTGGCAGGTCCTACATACGCACCATTACCTTCTGTACATAGATAACCCCTTCTTACACACGATCAACGCCTAGACTGAGATGGTGGTGGGGGTGCACACAGGTACGGAGTGCCCTGCCCCGAATAGACTCAGGGCCGCCCAGAGAGTACCCGCACTTGGTGGTCAAGCTCAAGAAGCTGCGGCTGGAGCGGGACCGCCAAGGCAAGATCTGTCAGGACAACATCAAGCTCGTCCACCGCATGGCTGTCATAATGAGGACCAAGAGGCTTGACAACATCAATATGGCGCCTAGAGGGTAATATATAGCAATTGAAGTATAGGGGTAACGTGCTCAGGGGTAATGCTACTGGTTACATTCTTAGGGGGTAACTTGCTTTGGTGACTTATTTTGTGGGTAACGTGTCGTAGGTGTAACCTGTTGTTGAGAAAATATGCTGTCGGGGGTAACGTGCTATAGAGGGGTAACTTACTGGGGACACTGTATCTATAAGCTAAGATAGTTTTGAAGCATTTTATCACCGCTGTTGGCACACACTCAAACACACTTAATTATGTTGCAATCAGCAGGATATTCTCACATACTTCACGTTATTGTCAGTCAGCATATCACTCTAACACAATCCCCGTCATTGGGGTACCGTTTCAAAACATCTAGTGTCGTCGGCAGACCATTCGAGCCTCGAGCAAAAACCTCGACCCGTCGAACGACAGCTTCTAGATCTCCAGCAGGAGAAGACGAGGAAGACTGGGACCAGGGCGGATCTTTTCTGGAACAGGTCACCTCTGAAGTGGAGAGGCACCTCAAACCTCCCATCCCAGGCAAGCTGATCCAGGTGTGTACCGTTACAGAAAAATCTTTAAAAAATATATAAACACTAATTATCCAGACGAACTACGATGTGTTTATAAATGTACAATCGTAGAAGTTATTGATCCATGATGCATATACATGCGTTACATGAAAGAAAAGCTTTGGCATGTTTACAATTACGTGTTATACATGCCCTCAGCACCGTGCTCCCGCGGGACTGTGTCGCGTCCCTCGTGTCGGACCTCCACCCTCACCCAGGAGCCCAGTCCGCCGCCGCCACCGTGTTCCCACCATCACCCTGCCCCTCACCAGCCCCAGGTAGGTGCCCACCTTCAGGTGTGTTCATCACCAGCACCGCCATGAAGGTACCGACAATCACTACCACCACCAGGTAGGTACCCTTCACCAGCCCCAGGTACAGTAGATGCCCGTCATCACCACCACCAACTGGCAGGTGCCCACTACCATTACCCTCAGGCAAGTGCCCACTACCACTACCCTTACCCTCAGGCAGGTGCCCACCACCACTACCATTACCCTCAGGCAGGTGCCCACCACCACTACCATTACCCTCAGGCAGGTGCCCACCACCACTACCATTACCCTCAGGCAGGTGCCCACCACCACTACCATTACCCTCAGGCAGGTGCCCACCACCACTACCATTACCCTCAGGCAGGTGCCCACCACCACTACCATTACCCTCCCCACCATCATCCACCTCCTCATCACCTCAAAGAAGTTCTTCAATATGTCAGTTACACTTTATTGTATTCTTGGAAAATATGTTTATGATGTCTAAGACGCTTATCAACATAAAAATATATTAGTTTTGAGAATATATATATATATATATATATATATATATATATATATATATATATATATATATATATATATATATATATATATATATATATATATATATATATATATATATATATATATATATATATTGTGTATATAAATTATGTGCATCACTGCCGGCAGGTCACGCAGGAGTCCGTCGCCTACCACCGCGTCAGAGCGGTCCTCGGCCAGGTGTCGTCGTGGTAGGGAGACAACCAGACTATCGCCCCTACCTAGTCTCGGCCGTCGTCCCAGCATCATCGCCTCCTTACCTTCTCCCCAGGACGACAACTCCAGCTCAGCCGCTGATGAAGGCAACTTTGAGGAGGATGTTGAAGAAAGTGAGAATTCAGAGTACAGTCAAGAATCTGAGGAGAGGAGCGAGTATTCGGAAGACAAGAATGAGAAAACGGAAGAAGATAGTCAGAAAACTGACGAAGAAAATGAAAAATGTGATGAAGATAGTGAAGGGAGTGAGGACAAGAGAGGGAGCAGGAGGGAGGGGTCTGGAGAGACGGATAGCGACGACCGGGTGTCCTCTATCCTTCTCAGTCACCACCCCAATATCACCATCGACGAGCCCAGCGACGACGAGTTCTACGCCTAGAAGGCACGCGTAGGCTGTCCACTTACCCTATAACGGGCACTGGGGTGATGACATGTGTTGTAGGTACTACTGGTGCACTTAGTGGAGTGACACATACAGGGTTGTTTAGTTTAGGTTAGGTAGTCCTTCCCCAGGGTGTAAGGTAAGATCAGTACGTAATGGTGTCGAACGGATTGAACCGACATTGACTTAAACGCTCATTTAACTCAATGCCTACAATAAGACTACCTTCCTGTGGACTGTATTCATGACGTTTTAATAACCAGTGTCGGGATAGAATTTCCGCGAACTGTTAAGTACCGGTGATTAACAAAATATTTTGTATTTACTTAGAAATATTCTTAGTATAGCTAATGTCAACTTGGAATCAATCCCAGAATTATTTAAATAAAAGTTTCTGTCTTTTTATGTGGGATTGATTTCCTAATCTGGTTTATTTCTTCATTGCACATCAAAGTAATGAGTATAACCACTAGGTAAACACCGTTCTCCCTGACGTATGAACATCACTTATACACACGAGGATATAGATAAATAATGACTGGTCAAGACCAACTGTGTTCTGACGACAGCTTACGGTCATTTTCACTCCCCAATTCCACTACTACAATGATAATATATAGAATGATCACTGCAAAGTCGTCCTGAGCTATTTTTTATTTTTTTTTTATATAAACAAACATCAAACTACCTCTCATGAACACTACAATCTCCATGGAAAGTGTTTTTTTTTTTTCACGGGGATAAGCTCACCCATGCACAGGTCACCAGCCCACATCGGGGCCTGGGTACAATAGTCAGTATAGACTGTACTGTATACACAGACGTTAGCCCAGCGAGCCACCTTTGGTAACAGGATTACGATGTAGCCACGCACGCCAGGCATACCTCGACAGGTGAAGGTGGTGACGTGATCAGAGTAGTTGTGGTGAGGGATGCGGGTGAACACAGTACTCGTCCTTGTGGCGGCCACCCTACAAGTCACTTCATGTCATCTGCCCCACACCCTCGCACGTAAGTCACAAGTCAATGGCACGGTGCATTATTCACATTCACAAGATGTATAGTAGTTATCACCCTTTATGTTATAGGTGTACGAGATGCTGCGCTAGATCCACCTTAAAGTGAATCACAATTTTTTTTCAGTTACTTACATTAACTGTTAGGCTACAAGCCGCTACATGATATTAAGATAGTTTCGATTTGGTGAGGCTTAAATTCTTTTTAGAAGTGTGTGTACAAATGATAGCTCCGAAAACTTGAGTGCCATCAAGGATCTCTTTTACATGCATTTAGCTGCAAAGGTTAGTTTTAATTAACCTTTAAATATACAGTATATTTGGAGCGCGGTGGTCAAGTGGATACAACGCTCGTCTCCTTCCCAGGGGTCGGCATTTCGATTTCTGGGCGTTCCTAGTGAATGCAGTCGAGTGCAGTACCAGCCATGTTGCCTCCTTGTGTACTGAAGGTTTAGTAGCATACAGTGTGCTGTACGAGCCGTCAGTGGTGAAGAGGATAAAGGTATCCACACCGTCACGACTATGGGACCCACTTTCACTTATAAAATTATAAAAAAAGCACAAGGTGGAGAGACGAGTATTTAGATTCTGTACAGTGAATACCTTTAAAATTATTGCTGTTTTGTTTGTGATTCATGTTCCGTAACTTTCAAGATATTTTGTTGTAGTTTTATTCTCAACGTAAAAGAAAATAAGGTTAACGCTCTTATCTGGTAGCTGATATTGATTTGTAATATACATTTTTTTAACCTTCCCATGATAAAACTAATTATTTTAAGACAGTTTACAAGTCCCGCTACTGCTAATGATGGACTTGCTGCAGGAACAGATCTAAACGGTACAACATAAGCAGTAATGAAGAGTGACAAAAGAATTAACTCTGAATGTGTGACTAGAGGACGATCTTGTTAGGCTTAAATGATGGTCATCCTGCCCTCACCAGCGCAGCTCTGAACTATATATGTTATATAGTCAAAGATGGGGTGCTTCCGACCACAAACAAAAGTAAAATTATTCTACTTCACAATGTGTGAAAACAATAGGGTAGGTGCTTCTGCTAACAACGCAATCAATTGAAGCAGCTATAACAGACGAAGGTGTTTGGACAAAAGCCCCCTGGACAAACCCCCCCCCCCAGTTAAAGTGCAAAGTTGGACAAAAGCCCCCCAGTTAAAGTGCAAAACAGGTTAGGTAAGTTAGGTTTGGAATAGCAGTCTTGTAATATAATAATTGTACATGATTTAAAAATTCTAATTGATAGTTGTGCTTGGGGGCCTTTGTCCTAGAGGGCTTTTGCACCATTTCTGAAAGACTGTTTCCGAGGTATCCTGTTCGCTTTTGAGACTAATCTATATCCGATAAAATATGATGATGATGAATAGGGAGAGAGAGGATGATTAAATAACCTAGTAGCACAGCGCACACTGGCAAATGTCACGACCGACCTTCATAACGACCCTACATTAATCGATCCTCCACCACCGGTCGCATCATAGTATATGTGTTAAGAAAACGGAAAGAGAGTGGAAGAATGCGAAATCAATAAGCAAGAGAGGAGGGGGAATGATCTTGCAGCAATTGATATGTGGGAGAACGAAAGAACGAGAGGATGAGTTTTGTATGAGTCCTACACAAACAAATATGCATATCGTCCACACATACGCATAACACTTTCACACAAATACACATCCATGTAAATACACATCCATGTAAATACACATGCAATATATTGAAATAAACGAGTTTCATGCACACCTAGTTCCTTGAATATATTCTCTGATCTGATTTTCTACAGCTGTATCACGTTATTGGACTACTGCCAAGGCAACAAGAGATCCGTGTTAAAGGAACAATTCGGGTGACTGGCAATGAATTCAATGAAACAATACCTGTACAGTTTTTCTTTATTAATAAAGAATGACTTAAAACAAGGACAGTGAGGTCAAACTAAAGTTATGAAAATCCTATGAAATGTGTGTGTGCGGTTATTTTACACACACACACACACACATATATATATATATATATATATATATATATATATATATATATATATATATATATATATATATATATATCATGTAAATCCACAATGAAAACGTGGATAAGATAAATCTTGATAAAATCACACGGGAAAATGGAAACAACGGAGTACCTTAGCTTAAATATACAGGGTGACCTAAAAACATGAGGTCAGGTCATAATGATGACATCCAAGGCTAAAAAGGTTAAAAATGCTTTGAAAACCTTTGATCTTGATGTATGACAGTTATTTTGTGGGTCCCTTTTTTCTGACCTGACCTGTCTAGTCACGTCACCACCCTTCTCTTAAGCTCCTCTACGGTTGTGTTGGTGTGGGGATTAGTGGATGTCATCATTATGACCTGACCTCATGTTTTTAGGTCACCCTGTATATTTAAGCCTCTCTCTGTCCATGTAATCTAGTTGCCTCTGAAGATGTCTTGAATAAAGACGAAAGCTAAGGTACTCCGTTGTTTCCATTTTCCCGTGTGATTTTATCAAGATATATATATATATATATATATATATATATATATATATATATATATATATATATATATATATATATATATATATATATATTTATATACAAAACCATGAAACCGGAAAATTTCGACCCAAGACCTCTTTTACAGATAACAAGTGAATATTGCAATTATGCAAATTAAATGTGTGAGGTGACAGTGGAAGCAAAGATTAATGCAAGGTACAGTTTAAGTCAGGGGAGTGCCTCTTGATTTATGTCAGTTTTTCTAAAGTCTAAAGACGTTCATATTTAGAACTTACACACACGTGCACGAATGGGCAATCTGTGCAACTCATTATAAAATTTCTGGGTGTGTCCCTTGACATAAACAAGGAAAAGTGTCAAATAATTAAGAAATAATAAGACAATACTAGTGTATGTGTGTTTCAGAGTTCTTGGATCAATTTTAAAAATCTATGATCGTGATATACGATGAAACGGTGCAAAGTGAAGATCACACAACAATCGTTTAGATAAAATCACAAAGCTATTCACTTTTACTTTTATCCTCTTCGCCACTGAACGGCTCGTTAGCCGCTTGGGCGATCGGTCACATCTCTGATTACTTTTTCTTTTCATTTATCTTCTTCACCAAAAGATCGGCTCGCTAGCCGCCCGGGCGATCGGTCACGTCTCTGTCACGCACTGTTGGCAAATACTGGGCATGCACCGGCTCCTGAATGTACCTGAACCCGCTCCAGTGTTGGTCAAGTCTTGTCTTGAAAGAGCTCACAAACAAAATCGGCTTAAATGTTATCAAAGGTAACGATGCGTCCTTGGTCTTCCTCTTTTCTCAGATGAATGTAACAAAACTATTAGAAGCGAGGAGGAGGGGGAGGGAGTGGTGGAGTCACCTGGGTACCCTGGCCTCTACCCCACCCCCGCCACCTGCACCTACACCTTTCTGGGCGCCAGCCCCCACCACAAGGTCCAACTCGCTTTTACCTACTTCTCCCTAAGAGAGCCACCTCTTCATCTCGTGGCTCACGAGAGGTGAGTGTCAGATCGCATGTATACTAACATGCACGGTATGCATATAAACATACTCTTATTTCTTTGATTAAAATTCAGCATACACATTCTCTTTTTCTGCACCCACAAATGCATCCTCACTTTTTACTTTTAATTTTATCCTCTTCGCCACTGGTTGGCTTGTTAGCCACTTGGGCGGTCGGCCATGTCTCTGTTATGCACTGTTAGCAAGTATTGGTGGGTATGCATTGGCTTCTGAACATATCTAAACCTGGTCCAGTGTTGGTCAAGTCTGGTCCTGGAACAGCTCACACTCAGTGTCGTCACAACACTGGAAGATTGTTCCAAGAGTTCACAATTCTCTCTCCGGAAAAGTTTGCCCTCACAGTTTTCTGGACTTGTGGCTTCTTTAATCTTCAGCTGTGATCCCCTGTGGGGCGAGTGTTCACCAGCTCCATTTTTGTACACTCAACTGAGTAGTGCCCTTGGAGATGTTTATACACCTCAATTATTAGGTCACCCCTCACCCGTTTGTAGTATAAGCTAGGCAGTTGCAGGTGCTCTAATCTCTCGGGGTAGCTGAGGTGCCGAAGTGCAGGCACCAGTCTGGTGACCCTCCTTTGGACATTTTCAATCAACTGACAGTCCCTAGCATATCTCGAGGATCAGACGGAGTGAGAGTACTCCAGACGGGGAAGCACCTCACTCTTGAAGATTGTTATGAGACGTACAGTACTAGTTTAGTTGCTTGAACCACCTTCTTCTCACAATGGCCTGAGAACTTCTTTCCATTGTCAATATACACACCCAGGTACTTTTCACATTCAGTCTCTTTTAATGCAGTTTCTTCATCCCGTTGGGACATATGATACGCCTCCTTACCGTTAGTATGACCCAGGTGCATCCTCTTACACTTCATGACATTGAATCTTAGCAGCCATCTCTTCGACCACTCTTAAAGCTCACAGAGATCTTTCTGTAACTCATTACAGTCTTTTTAGTTCTTATTTTCCCTGAATAACTTGGCATCGTCCACAAACATTTGTATGGAGGAATGTATAGCTTCCAGCATGTAATTTATGAAACAAACAACAACAGGCCCCGTACACTTCCCTGTGGTACCCCACTTGTCACAGGTACACAAAATGATTTCATACTATTAATCACCACACACTGTTTGTGATCACGAAGAAAGTCTCCAATCGACGCAAGGGCACTTCCCTGAATTCCGTATCCTTCCAGTTTAAGTCTCAGCCTTTCATGGAGTACGCTGTCAAAAGCTTGGGTAAAATCTAGGTATATAATGTCGATATTACTGCCCTGTTCCAGAATTTCGGTCCAAACATCCAGTACCTTAAGTAATTATGTTAAGCAGGAGCTTCCCGGCATCAAACCACGTTGGCAATCCTTTACAAGGGTGTTTCGTAGTAGATGTTCCATCATGGTATCTCTTATAATGCTCTCTAGTATTTTACACACTATGCTAGTCAGGCTTACTGGTCTATAATTATTCATGGAGTGATGATCATCCTTCTTGAATACAGGACTCACATAAGTAATTTCCAGTCACGGGACCTTTTGCTCACCCAGGCATTTACAGAACAGGATCATAAGGGTACTCAGCAAGCTCGTTGCACAACTCTCTTGGTACTCTGGGAGGCACCATGTCAGGGCTGGGACTCTTATGAACCTTTAGCTTTGACAATATATTTTTTATTCCCTCTTCTGAGAACACAATGTGGGTCAGCACTGTGTCAAACCGTCTTTTCTCAAATGCAGGAAGATTGTTCACATCTTCTCCTGTGTAGGGCCGGGCACAGGACCTGTCTGATAGAGGGGCTGAGTTTGCAAAAATGGCACCATCCCTCAGGGGGCACTGTAAGCCCCCCCCCCCCCCAGGGAATTTTTTTTGAAATCTGATCTATTTGAGGGCCATTTTGAGGCCATATGCAGTTGCTATAAATGTCCCTTGAATTTTGGTATATTTTATAATTTTTTTATGAAAATATACTTAATATCTAATAAAAGCAACATGACAATGACATCATTCGACAATTTATTTACAATATAAACTACTAAAATCCAAGCTCTCCCACGAAAGCACGCCACATATAATATTATAGCAGGGTGTTTATACTTGGCTTTAGAATAATATAAAAGAATTTTTTCCTCCTTAAGTTCTTTGCATCCTAAATGGGCTGATCTGCCTCTTTTGTTACTAATTGAAAAAAAAGCACCATCGAGGGCACTTCATAACTGGCAGGGAAAATGGACAGGGGCTCAAGCCTCCCTTGAGCCCTACCTGTGCCTGCTCTTGTGAACACTTGCACATACACACACACTCATGCACATGCAAACATATCAAAATTCATATATGTAGCACCTATCATCATTAAATTAACTAGCCTTATTGTTTGTTTTAACTCTATGGTGGCTTCCTCCCTGGCCCTTGAGGTCTGTTGTTAGAAAATATTCATGAAGAAGAAACATGATGGTACAGGTTTAGTTGTCTCACAAGATACACTAGTACTTAAAGCGGAAGCCCAGCCCAACACATGACAGCAAAGCCTACTCATCTCATAATGCAACATTAGTAACTTGACATGCATCCTGATGTGGGATATTAATATATGCTTTAACTTTTATTTGTTTAGAATAATATGACAAAATAATATACAACAATCTCAAGTAGTGTATGTGTATTAATATGATATTATTTGGATATTTAAATACACCTAGACCCCGACTTACGACGGGGTTAGGGACCCAAATCCAGGTCGTAAGTCCGACATGGTCGTAAGTCCGACATAGATAAAAAAAATCTACAATGAAATACAATACAGTAAAAGTAATGAATAATGATGAATGGATACAGTACAGTGAAAGTAATAAATAATAAGGAATGGATACAGTGTGACAGCACTTAACCTTTAATGTAGTCAGCTGAATGCACATGGGGCCCCCATAATTTTCTAATTATACATGGAGACTACATTAACTGGAAACGTTTCGGTATAGAAAATGCGTGTGTCATTTAAAAAAAAAAAAAAAAAATTTTTTTTTATCTATATCTGAGGCGGTCGTAAGTCCCGACGGTCGTAAGTCCACGTAGTCGTAAGTCGGGGTCTAGGTGTACTTGTAATTATTCCTGCAATGTATTGTTATTTCTGGATTAACCAAATAAAACAATCCTTGAAAAAAATTATGAAAGGAAGTAATTAACAATGTGTTTGTTTGTGTGTGTGTACTGCAGGTGTTTACACACAGACACCCTGGCCATGTACAACCTTGTCAACAACTACACTCGCCAAGAGATTGACACCTTCTGCGGCACCTCCGTCCCCTTGCCCATTATGTCTTCCACACCAGGTAACCCCCAAACATGTCTTATTCTCCTCAACTTAGTTAATGGTAGTGGTTACTGTGATGTTCTCTGTTAACTATAAAACTTTGGATATTGGAGGAAGTTACTTGTGTTTGTAAGCATCTGTCCTACACTGTATTATGAAATTCACAAGTCACTGGGGATCATATTAAATAAATTTAACGGTACTGTATTTATAAAAAGAGGGAATAGAAAGACGTAAATTGAGGAAGGATACAATGAATGCAAATTAATAAATGTACATACATATGAAAATGTGATCCACAAGAGACTGGGGAAGACTGAGACTGTGTTGTCCCAGTTAAAACATAACACCAATTCTTATAATGCAGTGCAGTAAGAGGTGTGACTGTTTTGGTTCCGGTAGGTCTTCAGCTGGTGTTCACGGCCAAGCCAGCAACGTCGCTACCCGAGACTTCACTGTTAATACATAATGGATTCTCCGCCAGATTCAAATTTGTCACAAGTAAGAAAAAACTCGTGAACTTTCTTTATCATGCAGTGGAAATGATACTATACTAGTCATTTACTGAAAATACGTAGGTACAATATTAATTAGATTATTAATCAGTAATATGCAACACCCCTGTATATATAAGTAATATCTACATTAGCAGGAATCCCTCAAACCCGTAACTCTCCATTAGCTGAAATTGAAATTTGTTCATTATTTTTCAAGAAAATTCCCTAAATTCTGGGTTCGGGAACAAATTCCAAGGTTGAAAATCAGGATCATTTTCGGAAAATTTAAATAAAAATCTGATAATCTGTCCAAATTTTGACTTCTGGGTCTAGGAGCAAACATCGAATATAAAATAATGTGCAAATTACCGGAAAATCGGAGAAAATTTTGAGAAAATCACTCCAAACCTTTCTGCTCATGGCCTGGGGACAAGGGTTCCCATCGTTATGAAAGATTGCGTCATGTTTAATCACATCCTCACATGGTTGTGTGTGGGCGGGAAGACCAACCACTTGGGTAACCCTGGATTTTTCTGTTCTGGGTCTATTCGTAATCACTGTACTGTATATACAGTGATATCTCCGTCAGCTGAAACAATTGGTGCAGAGCACTTTGGGAATGAGAGATTTCCGGGTAATGAGACGACTCTCTCAAAGCCGGAAAAAAAATCCTGTATTCCCATAGTTTTCTGGGAAAGCATGACAATTTTCTTGGAAGGTCCAGAAATTCACATTACATCATCTCTCGAACCCAGAAAGAAATATCCCATCCCCCAGAATCCCCCAAAAAAAAATATATATATATACACAGTTGTACCCCGCTTAACGCGGTTTCACTTAACGCGATTTCTCATATACGCGGTGCCTCGCCAGAACCAAACTTTCACTTAACGCGGTTCATCTACCCATATACGCGGGAAGCAGCGCGGGCACGATGCGCACAAGGTCACCCAGTCATCAAAACATTACCGAGTTCTTCACCCGCCACCCACCACAGCCGGCCCAAGTCAGTGATAGTGATAATTATAGTGAGGATATGGACTTATATGGACTTTCAGGGGTTTGACAAAGAGGCCCTGCAAGCCTCGTGGTGGATAGTGATACAATTGATACAAGTGATACAGGTGAGGGCCAATAATCTGCCCTCTGCCTCGGAACCAACCCCCCATCCCCGTGTGCCCAGCCATCTTTTCTACTAATGTAAGTGTTAAAAAACCTAATATTATTGATATTTCTCTTAATTATTAATTGTGTGTGCATACCATCATAAAGTTAAGATAATATTTTTACTACAACATAGTTGTGTGTCGTCAAAAAGTGGAGTTTGGGGGTCGGGCCGGTCTCTATTGGAATTAATCCCATAGGTTCTGTTGTTCACTTTACGCGGTTTTCACTTAACGCGGTACCCTGTGGGTTCAATTGACCGCGTTAAGCGGGGTACAACTGTATATGAGTGTGTGTTCATTATTATGGCATGTAAATGTAAACAAAGACATACCGTATATGCTCAGATCTGGGAATGAAGAGCGGGCAGCAGACTGCCCCTGGTGTGTGCCAATTTCTATACAACAGTACCAACGCTGCCAATGGTACGGTGTATTCCCCCAACCCTGAGGGTTACTACCCGCAAGACACTACCTGCCACTACCTCTTTTATGGCCGTCCAGGCGAGGTGGTGAGACTTACCTTCAAGTACTTCGACGTGGAGGGGGTCATGCCGTGAGTGTGCCCAGTTGCCTTAGCTCATGTTACCAAGAACACATAAGTATTTCTCTTTATAGTAGACTATTCTGTAGGTTATGTTACCGACGGATTCTATTTTTATTCCATACAGTTAAGTGATTCTTATGTAAAGTACGAGGAGATTCACTGAACTTCTCATATATAGAAGATGACGAACGTAAGTAAAAGGGAGTACTGTAGTTCCCGAGGCTAGCCAGTACATTGGCCTCGCCAGATTAATTCAAAACATTCCAGTAAGTTGAAAGGATCAAGCTTCTTACTCTATATTCAGTAAAACCATATGTTCTCATTCACATAAAAAAACAGTAGTTTTGTCAAATATATCGATTACTTGTATAGTTCTCAGTAGCACAGACGAATAGAGTAACACTGGGAAAACTTTCCCTCGCTGAATTACAAGTATATGACACTGAAAACACTTCACATATAATTTTCTACAGGTGTAACGAGGCGACGGACAGCGATTATCTGGAGTTTTCAAACTTCCCCAGCGCAGACCGTAAGATCCCAGCCTACTGTGGCAATGTTGCCCCCTCCATCATCCAGAGTGATGGCACCTTCTTCAGGCTTACTTTCAGGAGTAATAACAAATTTAGTGGAACTGGGTTTGCCACTGACTACCAATTCCTGGATATGTCATACCAACCATACACCATCAAGAAAGTGATTGTTATGACGGCCGGAGGCAGTGGAGGGTATTCGTAAAATAAAACAAGAAGATTGATAAATTACTATTGGGCTTATAGACAACACTAATGAGATAAAACAATATACATGAAAGTTCAGTGCTTCCCTTGTGACACCTACCAGATGCTTCTGGTGTTATTGTACAGGGGTACCTAGTGACAGCACTAGGATCCCGCTTCCTCTATCAAGAAATAAACTATTGAAATTGAAAAAAAAAGTGAAGTCCAGTGCTTTTGATTGATTAATGTAAAATAAAATTAAAACAACATTTGTACTTCATTTTGCCTGATTTTTACAAAACCGCAGGCGAGACGTAAAGTACAGTACGGTATACTGTAGGTAAATAAACCTTCGTAAAATTTAGCTGGAGGTGCCAGGGATTGAACCTGGGGCCTCTCACATGCGAAGCGAGCGCTCTACAAGAGAAATATTGAAGTGTACATAAAAAGAAAAAATATATATATAGTACTTTGGTCATACAATTAGGGATGAGGGGATATTAATAAAAATATTAAAGGGTAAAGTTGAGGGGCAGGGGAAGGCAGAGACTGGAATGAATGAATGAAATTAAAAAGTGGGTCCCCAGAGATACAAAACCTTTGAGGATTGGTAAAAACAGCCCAAGAACATTTACAGTGGAGGACTGTGGTCGCCCAACTTCAGACATGAGGACGGTACTCTCTGAGTTCCACTTATCAGCAGTGTTAGTACAGGAGAAGATTTAAGAGTTCAAATTGTAAAATTTAAAAAAGGGAGGGATGGTAAGGGATGTGGGTTAGGTAGAGGGACCAAGGCTAGACATTTGAGGACAAAATACTGAGTAAATTCATTTAGCTTAGTCAAACTTTTTTATTTTGGTGATTCTCATGTTTTCATGAAGGGAGGCTGCTTATAGCAGTTTATTTGAATATATTTTTTGCTTTGAAACATTAGAATTTGTTCCATTTCAATTAACCCTCTCAACCTTGGAGCCTGAGACACATACATGCATGAAAACTTACTCTCAGCCTTGGAGGTTTTTGCCGAAAAAGTTTTTTTTTTTTTTACGGGCTCATTTCACTGCCATGCAATTGTTTTATTAATTGTCCGACTTATGATCATCCGCACTTACGAACGGGATCCCAATACTGTACATCCATTGTAAAAATTTGAAAGTGAAATCCCATTTTTTACTTTATTTTCATTATTCTACCTGTATATTGTTTAACAACACTTTATTTACAGTATTTACATTATTTGTTATGTATGGGATATTATTGTTGTTTTGTATGGGCTGGATTTTACTTTAACCTAAACTATGGAATTAACTGTTTAACTTGCCAAAAAAATTTGACTTACGATCAGGGACCAGCACCATATCCCT